TCCAAGCGTCATCTCCTGTCATCCATTCGGAGTACACATGGCACAGCCACTGTGCTGTGGTATACACCTTGCAGGGTGTAAAGTCTAACTGGTCGTGAAAGGATGGATGGTTAAGTAGACTGGAGATACAATCCAAAGGGTCACGCCAATATAATATGACAGGTGATTTGGTCAGATGCTTTGTCTCAATGACTTGGGACATCCAGCATGGACCGCTTGGCAACATTTCTGCTCTGCCTCGCAGTTCCTTGTCCGATGAGAACGTCAGAGGAAGACCCTGGATCTTATCATGCACGTTGTTAGACTCTACCAATTGAATATATTGTGTACTTACTATCTCAAGTGACAAAAAGCTATCTATCTTCCCCATGCTTAATCCCGAGTGAAGTAGCCATGATGCAAGCTCCCAGTCTTTCCGGCCACTGAATGGGTAGTAGAGATTAGTTGCACGGTGCACGCTGTTCTCGTCTGAATTGAATATGTCAAGGAAAGTATGACCTGTTCCATACGTTCGAGAAGCTCCAGGGAACCAGTCGATGAAGTCGCCAGTTGGTGATATCCCTTCTTCATTCACACTGCCGGTAAAACCACCTTCATTTAAATTAGCACCACTCCCAGTATCCTCATCCCAGCCTCCAGATCCGTCGTGGTCTTCATATGTATGTGCGAGGTGGTGAGAATCATTGGGAGTACCGAGCTCCTCGTCATCGACGTCCATAGACTCGATTCATGCAGAGTCCAACCATATTATATCATGTAGCCAAGTGTTACATCCTGAGCGGGGCTGATTCATATGATGGGCCACAGCGACCTCATCTTTGAATCTGCCTTTGCTGCATGAAGGACACTGAAACATATCGTTAAGTATAGAATGTATATGTGAGAAAAATACCTCGTGTGACGTCAAATTGAGCTTGGATTTCCCCAAACCTACTGTATAGAACAAATGAAGTCTGCAAACGAGCATTATCACCTATAATTATAATATCATATTAGTATGTCTGAGTCGACCCCACTTGTCTGCCTTAACATTCACAACAACATCCTCACCTCAGTCACAGCACCTTCTCGCTGTCCTCGGTGCTATGGTTCGCATGCAACTTCTTACCTGTGTCTCTGAGCAGTAAAAATCAGCAACCACGACCGTGCTCTTGCAGAATTGTATGATGTTGCTGAGGCTATTGGCTCTATGGTAAGTGGCTTGCTATTTGTACCAGAAACTATCATCTATCATCTAACGTACCTGTAGACTATCGAAGATACAGACCTTGAAGCCAACTTACTCATGGAACTCGCGAGAGCCAGACAAGAGGTATTCAGAGCCAAAAAATTGCTGGCTGACTGTGTGGTCTGTGAGCATGAAGTCATGGCGACTTTATCGAAGTTTAAATCCAGCATATCCGAGCACAAACTTGACAAGGCAGACGTCGGATTAGGATGCATGTGGATCGCCTTTAAAAAACACGGTCTTTCTCACCATGCGTCTCTGCATAGTAAGTCTTCCAATACATTAATATTCGTGTATATAGTCAACAAGCCACAGGTTCTCACATTGAGTCGCAGGCTGCCAGTCAAAACATTACTATCAAGTTGGATTGATGTGGGATGGTGTAGTATTTCATGATCGCACGCAATTCTTTTTGTATTACCTTACCATGCATTATGTACTATCACACTTGCATAAATTTAATTGCGTGTTTTTAATAGAACGACTCATTACAGTGGCAGTATACTAGTAGTCTAATTTAAGTTTATTTAGTATGCTGGCATTTCAACTCAAAGTTAGTCACTCAGCGTTCAACTGGGACAGCGCTCACACTGGCAACCTTGATAGCTGTGCAGCCTGTATGTCCTGTCAGAGCTGTGCGAAATATCTATCTGTGCTTATATAACTTTTGTGAGCGCTGTCTGCTCTGTGAGAGTCTGTGGGCAACTGTGTGAAACTGTCGAAATAGGCATTATCTGGGGAGAAATTTGTGGTTTACTGATGAACTGTGTTTCTAAACATGAGTAATTATACGAACTTTCAAGATTACACGAAATTTAGCCCAGGAGGGTTTTGCTGATGTAACCTGACGAGTCGGTGGAGGAGGGCAGCTTGGCACAATATTGCAGGAATGGTCACGGTAGCCTGAGGTCCCTCGGACTATCCCCAATCACTGCAGGGAGGTGGAACGGGAGCAGACTCGACAGTATGAAATATTGTGGTCGACATGCACGGCCCGAGAGGCTGCCATACAGCACAACCACACATGCATGCATGAACCTAATCCAGCGGCATCTGGGTCCAAGCCCGGTCTTTCCCCACTCATCTGCAGAGTAATCAAAATAATCGTAAAGTCTAAATAGGTGCCGTTTCGTGATTGCATAAAGTTCTGTTTCGCTATCCAGAGCGTGGGCTTCTGTAGTCCATATCCACCTAGTTTGTAAGTGGTTTTCTCATTATCTTGCTATGGCCTCGGCAGTTGAACCCCTCCTATGATTAGTATGGGATGAACGATGGTGCCAAACTGCCAATCAACGCGTGCGCTTGCAACTAATAGATGTTTGTCCCATTCTGGCCTGCCTCCTTTGAATTTTATCCCTTCGCATATGCCCCATGGATACAAGTACACGTAACGCAAGCAAGATAACAATTGATAGCTGGGCAAGATAGCAAGCGGCAGGTGCAATAGACGCTGAGGTAGCAGATGTCGATCGGGCAAGGTGGAACATCTAAAAAACTGACTCGGTGGAAATATAGTTTAAAACTCTTGTAAGACTCTCGCGAGAGTTGCCGTTTTGGTTAGCACGAAATCTACTAGATTTCATTTGTAAATACCTGGTTTTGGTTATGTTTGAACCCTGAGCCAAGTTTCACACATTTAGATGTGAGATTATCAGTACAATAAATGTGTTATCCAGTATTACTAGTACAATCAAAACTACTATCTGATAGAATCTACGAGGGTGCCTGTGATGGTCCAATCACTAACATGTACCACAAAAAGTTGTGAAACTGTACTCGCTTGTCCCCGGAAAGGTTGTTCATCGCACTGAGGATATATAGGAACTTGCGATTGGATCCCATTCCTCCAAAACTATCCACTTTCACCTGGACTTCGAACTGTTCGTCGAGGCTGCAGAACGTCGCTGCGCCGGCAAGTGCCCACATGAACTTCAGATTTTCGATTTGCTGTTCCTCAGTCTCGCCGAGGAACTCTTGGTGCAACCCCTGCCAAACAAAACGGATAATGTTGCACATGATGAACGCATTCTGGAATTTAGCTTTGATTTCGACCTGTCCATTCTGAAAAGATTGAGCTGCCCCCGACAACACACACGAACGAAAACTTACTTGATTGAAGCTATAAATGTGCATGAAAGCGAGACCATCTCCATCTTGTGTGATCTTTTCGATCAAGCGTTTGCGATAGGTGATAGCGGGTGCGGCAATGTGCAGTGGAGGGAAAAGCCGATACGCATGGAAGACGCCCTTGCGCGCGTATTCAGCGAATTTGCCGTGAGTTGACGACAACGCATTCGCAACATCCTTACAATGTTTATTTGAGATAAAATCCTCAAATGTTGCTAATAAAACAAGTCAGTATGATGTTAATGGACATATGATACTCACCATTGGGTTCAAAGCAGCGTGGTACCGAGTCCCAGATGACCTTGTTCAGCATGATTTTCTTGGTGGCTTTGTCAATCGCCATCGCCTGTTCTCCAAATAACTCGCGCATGACCAAATGTGTTGCCGTTTTCATGGACTGGCCAATGATATCATCCGATAGTTTGATGCGCGTGGGTTGAGGTGTTGACGATGTTACAGATTGCGAAGTTGAATCTTCAACTGCAGATGGTAGAGATTGGGTGTTGCCCTGCGGGCGTATGGCAGGGTACGGAACCATCCGTGGCGTAGGTGGCATCGCACGTCGGGCTCGCCTTGTTGTTTCCCTTGGCAGGCCCATCGTCTAAGTGAGTGGTAAGCAGGAAACGAATTGAAGAAGAAAAAGAACTTACATGCATCACATCGGTTGGCGGAATCTCACCTCGCTGGATCAGCGTCATCTCCGACGTGCTCGTGCTGGTACCAGTACCTTGGAGGAGGGTACTTGAAGGAAAGTCGTGGTTGGAGCCTTGAGGTAAGGGTTCGTAAGAAGAGCCCTGGGAGGGGCCCTCCGAGGACGAAGCGCCATAGTATTGGCCGTGAGGGAAGCGGCCGTTGAAGTCAGTGTTCTGCATACTCCAGCCATATGATGCTGCGAAATCGTCAGAGTCATCAGTGAACAAAAGTGTGATTGACTCACATGTGCTCCCACTTGATATGGGGGTAGGAACTCCTCCACTGGCCGCATGCGCATCGAAGTTGAACTGAGACATACGCGGCTGCTCAGTAGGAATGTGAAGTTGGCCACTTGCTGGTTCGCCAGATGGATTGAGGCCAGAACCGCGTGGCGGTTTGGAGACTTTAGCTTTAGTTTTTCGCTGAGGGCCACGCTCACTAGGCATTCAAGTTGGAGGGGATGTAAGAGCGCATGCGTGCATTTAAGTTGCGAAACAACGTAACGGTACATAGGGGGAAAAGAAACACAAACTTTACACGATCTTTACAAACCGGGAACGCATGACGAGCTGATAAGATGATTTGACAACAAAAAGCAAGGCCATTTACTAATGAAGCATAAAAAGAAGGGGGGGGCGTGGTCCGATAAGATGACTTATGAACGGGAGAAAAAGATATATGAACGGCCGGAGCGGGCGAAGCGCTTTATTGAACGGTCAAAGCGTGTTTATGAATGGTCGAAGCATGTTACGGACGGGTGAAGTAAGGCGATAACAATCTATGAACAGTGACATGAGTGTCACTGATATTGATCAATGAGTGGCGTGAACAACTTGGCAGTCACATAACATTGATAGTCACATACCATCGATAGTCACAACTGCGCATGCTGCTGGCCCGGCCACCCGCTGTAGAGAATCATGCCTCTCATGGCGTGATATGGCAATTTCCACTAGGGAGTAGACAGCACAAACTCGCAGCACCACTCTGTGTACTGTCCACAGCTATTCCTATATGAGGCGCAGCTTTCCTGCGCAATGCGTGCCATGCGCGCATTCCCGTGCTTGAGCGCCCTATAGCGCCAGCCATCCAGAAGCATCCATCCACTGTCCACCAAGCCCTCTAGTGCGTATATTTCCATTTCTTTTATTAGCATATCATTCCACCTCTATTTTTATAATGGACCCTTACTTATATATATCTTTACATACCTACTCGGTAGCACTTCGGCTCCGCATGACCGCGCTTAGGCGCGCTATATAAGCGCCAGCAGTACATACTACGAGGAGGTTTTCCACTTACTTTCACCCAACTTTACTTTTGACTTGAGTACCACCCACTATTTACCTAGCTGAACATAGTAGAAATCTATTTGTCTGCACTTTGCACCTCTCTTCACTTGTCTTACATCATATCCTCACTTAAGCTTACTCTTTCTCATTTCCGCACACGCGTGCGCGCTTTCCCACGCTTCGCGCTAATACGCGCGCGCGTTCCCGCGCCTTCGTACCTTGCGCGCACCTGTGCTTTCTCGTGCCTCGCTTCAGCGCGTACCTCTAGATCTTCACTGCACTCGCTTCCCTTTAGGGTCGAACGTGCTTGTCTCCTCAAGTAACGCAGACTAGGCAACGCACGACCTACAACATTTTATAGATACAGTCAGGAGCTTCATTTGTTCCTCTCTGTATTGTTGTTTCTACACCGCTGCGACGATCCTCCTCTTCGCCGAAATCGATATCGGAGTCGGTATCGGTATCGGTACCGGCATCCGTGAAACCACCACGCAGCACATATGTGATGTTGTCCCTGTTTTGTGAGGCACCAACGAAACAAGGGAGGTAGGGAACTTCGCCGGTAGACGCTAATAATTCACGTTTGGCACGTGATCCCAGGCATTTTGAGATTATCTCTGCTTGGGTGGTGATGGTGCGAAGCATCTCGCATTCATCGTTGTAGACAGCTTGAATGTAATTCGTGTCATCGTCGATTTCTGTGCGTTCATGCTCAGAAAAAATGTTCCTAATCTTCTTCAGCTGTTCGTCCCTCAAATTGAGGTGGTTTTTGTTCTCCTCATGGAGCGCCTGATTAAACACTGTCATGCGCTCTGAGTATTCGACCTGCCATAATGATGTCGCCACCTCATGGCGAGCAGCCTCGTGACTAGCGAGTACTGCCTTGAACACTTTGTACAAGGTGTCAAAGCTCATCCGTGAGAGACCGCTGGATATTGCGTCCTCATGCTTTTGGACATAGATCATGTGAGAATTTGCGAATTTCTGGAACAAAGAAAAGAAAAAACAAATACCTCTTGCAGTTGTTCAGATGTGAAGTCTGGTTCCCGTACTCGCCCTGTCACGCGGTTGGCAAACCGAAGTTCTAGTGGAGATGGCCTGGAGGGGTATGGAATATGCCTCTTGGTCGACCTCTCACGCAGGTAAGCTACTCGAGAAGGTGACTTTGGGGACTGTAAAATGTCAGGCTTATACAACAGACTCTCCTTTACATCAGGAAGGTACGGAATTTCTTCCACCAGGGAGAAGTGAATTATTGGAGAACCTGAGGGGTAGGGGGACAGCTTGGGAGAAAGTGAACAGTCAGAGCCAAATAAGAGCTCAGTAGCCATGGTATTGATATGGGGTGACTCAGGGTGGTCAACCTTCTTAAAGAACTCTGAGGAAGTTAGTTCTATGCGAGTTGCACTACTTGATGTAGTGCTGGTGAAAGCAGGGCTACTTGGACGAGCAGGAGATGAGACTGGTGATGAGGACACAGGCTCCATTACTTAGCCTGGCGTGATGACTGTGCGCTGTGAAATGTGAGGTCTTTGGACTTTGAAAGACTTGTTACTTCCTGTAAACACTCACCGGCTTAAGTCTAAGCCAAGTCTACGGTACAATGTAAGTACTTCCATTGTTCACTTTACGATACCATACATACCATTGACAGGCTATGTCCCAACTGCAAATTGGGGGAATATACATACATCCATCGAGGCGCTTATCTCACATCTCAATTCTCCATCTACTTGCTGGCCATCCAACGCACAACCACGAACATTACCCGTCCCTTCAGTATTCAATCAAAGTGGTCAGATACCCGTCACTGGTACTTGTCACCCGCAATCTGGATACGTCTATGGTGTCGGTAGAAATATGCTGGATAAACTGGAAGACGATCAATATGCGCATCGACAGAAGATAAATCATTATCATTATTACCCTTTCCATGATGAAGGCGAATGGGAATTAGGGAAGTTTTTGGTGGAAAACCTCACTCAAACTCAAATAACCAAGTTCTTAAAGTTGAAATGGGTAAATGACGGATATCGATCTAAGCTGTATTCCTCAATCTGATCCTACCTTCACAGTTTGACACTCCGAATTGCACAAGACCCTCTTTCACCATGAAAGACCACCTCCTGGATTGGATGGATTCACTACCTTCTTTTGCCCCGTGGAAAGTCTCCAAACTAGCATTTAAGGGCTATAAGACTGTCCGTCCTGTGGAGTTCATTTGGCGCGATGCGCTAGAGGTCATGAAGCAACTATTCAGTGACCCAACTTTTGCGAACCACATGACCTTCAACCCCTACGTCGCTAATGTCAAAAATTAACGTGAATACGGAGACTATATGAGTGCTGACATGGCATGGAAAATTCAGGTTTGTTCACCCTCCCATTCATATACTCCTCGCTGAGTAACAGATTAATTTTTACTTCTAGGACCATCTCCCGTTGGGTGCGACTCAAGTCCCAATAATCTTGGGATCTGATAAAACACCCGTGACGCGACTTGCTGGAGGAATTGAGATGCATCCGGTCTTCGTCACAATTGGTAACATTGATTCTGAGGTTCGCTCCAAGGCAACATTGCAAGCTTGGCGCTGCATAGCCTACATTCCCGTAATCAAGTTCCGCGTTCACACAGATTACCAGTCTATTCTCCAGGCCAGACTGTGGCACAAATGTTTGGACCTTGTTTTCGCCAACCTCAAGGTCGCAGCAAAGGATGGCTGCTTCATGCCCGATCCTTCCCGCTATATTCGCCATGTGTTTACGCCACTTGTCGCTCATGTGTGCGACCTACCGGAGGCTACTATAATCGCCGCAGTCAGTAAAAACTCATCCCCACTAACTATTGTTACGCACTCAAATAGATCTGTTATGTGGAGCCCTAAGAGGGGCGTTGTCCGCTAACGTTCGTGACATAACCGGAAGGGTCCGGTGTAGCGACTGAGACTGGCGACGTCGAGTCGGCAGATATCAGAGACGCGCGTGTCACGTGACTTCTAAGACAGATGTCTTCAAAGTCACTGACGTTCTCAAAGTAAGGACAGTCTTGTCCGAACGATGAGGTGGTCGATCGAGGTGGACTTAGGCGCGATGAGCACCTAAGAAAAGATACTAGAGACTGAAGCTGAGGGGGCTTCAGAAGGAAGTATGTTCGAGGGAAGATTGAGTAGATTCAAGTTAGGGAATCTAGTACAGAGTGACCGACTACTTATACTAAGTGGAAAGGGTTAAGGGCAAGGCTACCGTACTGTAGGTAAGGGCAAAGGGGAAACGGAAAGGGTATAGGTACGCTGGTAGCAGAGCCTGATTAGTGATGTAAGGTCGAATGCAGAATGAGACCGAGAAACGTTGGAACGAGCCAACGGTAAATGATACAATGTGCAGCATGCACGAGTCAAAGGAAAGATAAGACAAGATAAGGGAAGCCACATTGGTGGCACGAGTCAGAACGAGTCATAGCCCGAAGGCACGTGCGCACGTTGGTGCGATAGGAGGGGGATGAGGGACGGGAACGGTCCCGAGGATCCGGTCAACGGATAGTCGGTAGAGAAGTACGAGCCGGAGGCATACGAGGGCGAGGACGAAGGGGAAAAATGATAGGGGGGCCATGTAGCCGATGTTACTTGTAACAACTATGGCAACACAAGTGGATTTTGGGGATGGAATTCTCCACCCGCCTCGTACCGGGAAGTATACATTGCAGCTCCTTGTGGAGATATCTCAACAGGTTGATCCCTGGGACCTCGACAAATTCCAGAAAGTGGCCAAAGCCATTAATCTATCTGGAGTTCACATGCCATACTGGCGTGATTGGATGTTTGCATGTCCATCCGTTTTCCTCGCTGGTGAGGTGCTGCACACCTGCCATAAGTTTTTCGTGGACCATCCGCTGAAATGGATCAAAGAAGCTCTAGGAGATTATGAGCTCGATACCCACTTCATGGTCCAGCACAAGCGAGTCAGAATGCGCCACTTCGCAAAAGGCATCACACACGTTAATCAAATGACAGGTCGCGAGCATAGAGACATTCAACGCACTATTGTTGCGTCAATCACAGGGGCTGTTCCACCCAGATTCGTTCGTACAATCTGTGCCCTTGTAGACTTCTTTTACCTCGCACAAAATCCGGTTCACTCCCCTGAATCACTTCAGTTGATGGTTCAAGCACTTTCAGATTTCCACACTTGCAAGGACGCTATCATCCAGGCTGAGGCAAGGAAGGGGAAGAAGGGCGTCAAAGAAGATTTTTTCATTCCAAAACTCAAGCTTCTGCAGAGCTTCAATGGTACAATTCAGAAATTAGGCACTTTGATGCAGTTCTCTGCTGATGTGACGGAGCGGTTACTCATCACACACTGTAAGGACCTTTTCCCGCAGACGTCCCGGCAAATCAAAGACTTTACAGAGCAGTGCGTACGGATTCTTAACTGCCAAGAGTCTATGGAAATGTTTGGCCTGTACACGCTGTTAACTTCTCGCGGGGCATCACTAGTTAATGCAATATACACCGAAGATGAAGATGTCACAATTGCCAATCCCGCACTCTCCTGGGTCTCCCGAGTTCTCCCTGATGAAGTTAAGTCAATACATGGTCCCCGACCAGTCCGCAATCACTTTCTCAAGGGTATTCTCTCTGGAGATGCCCTCACTGCTTTTCAACTCAATATCACGCCTGATTATAAATCGCTATCACCGTCTGACATACACGCAAAATATGCACTCTTGGGCTTTGAGCGTGCGCTCGCCGAATTTATATGTTGTTCCCCCCTTTCTAGTGGTGAAAATTCTTGCTGGGACCCCAAGTATGGGCACTTCCAGGTATGGCACAAATTCCAATTGCAACTCCACTCAGCCTTCCAGCCACGAGTCATCATGCCGAGTCGCGTGGTACAAGCGTACCCACCAAGCGATGATTTTCCCTTTGGAAATTGTGATACTGTTCTCGTGGAGACCACAGGCATTGATGGCAAAACCAGTATGTCTTTCATGTGCTTATGTTGTAGCCTACTGATATCATATACAGCAAGTTGCATCGCGCAGGTTGGACTCATTTTTCAACCGACGGTTCAACGAGGTTCCAACCTGGAACTACCATCGTGTCTCTCAGACCCACTTCTCTACGTCCAATTTTTCCACTTCATTTCCAGCCCTGATGATCGTCCTGAACTCACAATGTGGACCGTGGAGCACACATACATGCAGGAGGAAAACAGTAATCGCTGTAGGAAGGGGGCTGTCATACGAGTGACAGATGTGACACATGTGGTTGAGTTGATACCAGTTTATGGTGAGGCAGTGGCCAACAGCGTGTCCTCTACGACTTCTTTGGAACGCTATGAGCATTTTTTCCTGAATAATTTCGCGGACAAGGAGAGTTATCACACATTCAGTACCGAGTTTGTGTAGACAGTAGCTTGATCAGTACGCAGCGATTGTATCTATTACTATCAGCATCTATCATATCACAAATCACATCTTATCAACGGAAAACAACTGGCTTGAGTTTTATCAGCCAGATTTGGTGTGTTATATTGGTGTTCAGGCATCTCCACCAATCGCCTGAGTTCGCTACTGAAGTCGTAAGTGTTCGTAACGCGCGTAAGTTAAGCATTCATTTCAGTCGTTTTGCAGATGCAGCCAAGGGTTTTTTTTTTGCATCAGATTTAGTCCGTTGACCCTATGTTAACGTTGGATGTGTTGCGCATGTGCATCTTTTTCTTTGCGGTATGGGGCAGGTGGTAACCGGTAACCGGTTACAACAACGTGCCAACTACTTTGGTTGTCGAAACTAAGTTATGTACAGCAATACCCGGGTCTAGACGAGACTGCCCCTTTTCTCATCTTATTCACACCTTGGCCGAACTCACAGTTGCGTTATGGTGCGTTTGGTATATCTGGACTTGTAGCAGGGCCCAAGTCTAACCACCATAATCTTCTGCGATGTTGCTTGGAAACTATCAGTCTTTGATCTTCCAGTGCCGTATAGTGAATTTAACATCTACAACAGCGCCATTTAAGATGTCATTGACAGTAGGGTAAATGAGGATGCCTTCCTAGTAGACAGGAAGGCGTTTGGTCTGTTGCATTCTCAGCAGCTTGTCCACGAGGCGAGTTAGCTATGATGTCGTCCTAATATCAGTCAGGTATTACACCTTTAGGTAAAGAGGGGCTTGATTTTACAGAGTTATCAATTGCAAGGTGTTGATGACGACCTGCAGTAAGTGAGAGTAATGAAGAGACAACAATGTTTGGAGGGCGTGACAGGAGGACAAAATGAGCTACATAGAGCAGTCAAAGGAAGCGAAGCTCGCATAAGCAGATAACCAGTCT